GGGACATGAAATGTAACTTCTCTCTGGTGGGGAAGGAGCCTGAGCTTGTGTGTGAGGTTGAGAGGTACCGACTAGCTATAGTTGGGATCACCTCGATGCACAGCATGGGAGAGGGACTGGACCTTATTCCATTCTGGAGTTGCCCATGGTGAGAGGCGCTGATCGGGTGTGGGTCTACTCTTAGTCCCCCGGACTTGGTGACTGTGTGTTGGAGTTTTCCCCGTTAGATGAGAGGGTGCTTCTCTGTGCCTTGGGGTGTGGGGATGGGCTCTGATGGTTGTTTGTGCCTATGCGTCAAACGGCAGTTCAGAGTATCCGGCCTTCTTGGAATCCTAGATGGGGGTGCTATAAGGTGCGCCAGCTGGGGACTCCTTTATTCTGCTGTGGGACTCCAAAAGCCCATGTGAGAAACGACAGTGTGACCTGGAGGGGTGTGATTGGGAGGAACGGCCTCTCTCATCTGAATTCAAGTGGTGTTCTGTTCTTGGACTTCTGTGCTAGTCATGGTTTGTCCACCATGAACACCATGTTCAAACACAAGTACACTTGGCACCAGGATGTCCTAGGTCATAGATCGATGATTGAATTTGTAGTCGTGTCATCTGATTTGCAGCCGTTTGTTTTGGACACTCGGGTGAAGAAAAGAACTGAGCTGTCAACTGATCACCACCTGGTAGTGAGCTGGATCAGATGATGGGGAAGATGCCGGACAGTCCCAAACGTCTAGTGAGGGTTTGCTGGGAATGCCTGGCAGAAGAATTCATCAGAAAGATCTTCAAGTCACACCTCTGGGAGAGCTGTAACTGCATCCCAGTTGTGGTGTGGGACATTGAGTCCGAGTGTGCCATGGTCCACACCTCAATTTTTGAGGTGGCTGCCTTGAGCTGTGGCTGCAAGGTTGTTGGTGCTTCTTATGATGGCCATCCTTGAATTCAGTGGTGGATGCCTCTGGTTAGGGAGGCTGTCAAACTGAAGAAGGAGTCCTATCAGGCCTTGTTGGCTCTGGGACTCCGCAGGCAGCTGAGGAGTACCGGAGGTCCAAGCGGTCTGCAGCCTTGGCTGTTGCTGAGGCAAAAGCTTGGATGTGGGAGGAATTCAGTGAGGCCTTGGATAGAGACTTTCGGTCGAAACGAGTTTCCTCCACAGGGTAGCTGGACTCTCCCTTATAGACAGGGTAAGAAGTTTAGTCATCCGGGAGAGACTCAGAGTAGAACCGCTGCTCCTCTACATACAGAGGAACCAGTTGAGGTGGTTCGGGCATCTGGTAAGGACACTTCCTGGGTGCCTCCCTAGGGAGCTACTTCGGGCATGTCCAACTGGAAGGAGGCCTCAGGGAAACCCCAGGACATGCTGGAGAGACTACGTCTCTCGGGTGGCTTGGGAACATTTTGGAATCCTCCAAGAAGAGCTGGAAGAGGTCGCTGTGGAAAGTGATGTCTGGGACTCTCTGCTCAAGCTGCTGCCCCCACGACCCAACTTTGGAACAAGCGGAAGATAATGGATGGATGGATGGCTAAAACTTAAAAATAGCACAATAGCTAAATACAAAAATAAAACAAAATCTAATTTTAAAAAAGTTAAAATGAGCTCAAAATAAATATTGCCATTCATTTTAAAGACACTAAAAAAAATAAAAAAATAAAAACCCACAAAAATTCAAGTTCAATGTTTTAAATAAGTATAAAATTACAAAACCAAAAGTTACTGCACCCATTTCCCAAACAAACAGTGTTTGATTCTTGAATTGTTAAAAAGTATTTTGAAGCCAAAAAATGTATGAAATAAATTATAAACTGTAAAACTATAGAGTGGAAGCACAATCAGCATTCACAATAAAAAAAATAAATAAAAAAAATCAACATTCACACAAAACATCCGAGACTTTACAATCATTTTGTAAAATCTAATTTCTTACCTATTTGTTTCATGAGAATTAAGGATTGTAGATTAAATTCCTTCACACATGAACATGAAAATCACTGTGTCACAAAATTATTACGGTAAATACAGTGTAAAACCATTGCATTAATGGACACAAACCTTGTGTATTTTGTTTTGTTGATGACAATTTTATTAAAACTTTTTTACTGGAATTTCCTGAGAACCACTGCTTAAACTCCCAGTGTTAACAGGCTAACGTTATAAATGGAAGAAGAAAAAAAAAAATCCACCTTTTATAAAATGATAAGATGGTGCATTAATTTTAAAATGTTTTAGTTCTTCCAGCCTGTTGATGCTGCCTAGAAAACAAAGCAATCTGAACTCTGCCCGGTGATTTTCATTGTTTCATGTCATCCTGCCTCTACACACTTTTACACACACATGCACACAGATTACAAAAATGTGACAACTTATGGCAGTAATACCCATTTTCACTCCGAGTCTGTTATTGTGTGTGTGCAGTTGTGTGATTCACAGATACACAAGCTTCCACGTGATGTTGATATATTTAAAATAGGCACGTCATCACTCATCAGTAACATTTTTCTGGAGAAGACATGGTTTAATTCATTGTTTTGAGTCATTAACATCACCCAGTGTGGTGTTATGAGTGCCTATGGCGTCTGCATTCATTATGTTTGTTGTGGCCTGTATGTTATTGTATGAGCACTGCATGATTTGCTAAAGTTTGTGTGGCTCACAGCTATAACACATGCTTGGAAAAGTTACACTCCATGCCCTGTTAGCCAGCTGACTGACAGCTTTTCTAAGTAGGTCATCTATGTAAATGCCAGCCTGTCAGTTTGCATCAATGGATGCAAAGTAGAGTGTGTGCCCTGTGACCGAAATCAGGTGGTCTTGGTTCTGTTCACCCATATTTTACAGAACACTGACAGCACGAAAACACATGGCATTTTTGACCAGTATAACCTCAGGTGGTTGTGTTGACGTGATTCTTTAAAATGCATTTGTAGTTATCTATGTCACCTTTGGCTTTAATCTATGTTAGTTTCCTAGCTGGAGACAGCATTCAATGCTCACATCTGAGTAGGTGTGCATACGTGGGTTTGTTGGTCGACACAGTGATGTAACAGGAGCAAAACCTGACTGCTAATTCTATGAAATTTAGTTCAGTTCAATGCAGTTCTTATATTTTCATACTTACAGAAAAACTATTTTTTTTCTTGTACATCACATAAATTACACAATAGAGACATAATGAGCTATAACACAACAACAGAAGGCAACAAAAGTAAGACGACCATAAGTGGAAGGTGTCGCCATGCCAACAAACAGAGGCCGTGTTTCAGGACTGAACATATTGAGCATCAGTAAACATAGTGCATATTTCATAATAATAATAATAATAATAATAATAATAATAATAATAATAATAATGCACTCCAGGGTGTGTTGCTCATGCAGGACTGAGCATGTTGTGCCAAAAATAATTGCTACTGATGGCACACTTTTTCCATTCTAAGGCAAACACATACAAGACATTTGGCTTTTCCATAAAAACATATTTAAAATTATCCTCTAAATTAAAAATATATTTTTTCAATCTTTATGCAACCTGTTCACATTCATCCATCATCTTTACCCATCCATCCATCCATTATCTTTACCCACTTTTTGTTTTTTGGGTTGCAGGGGTCACTGGTGCTCATGTCCAGCCATCACTGTGTGAGAGGCGGGGGACACCGTGGTCTCCAGTCCATCACAGGGACACATAGAGACACACGAGCCAAACAACTCTCTCACTCACACCTAGGGACAGTTTAAAGTTACCAATCAGCCTAACATGCATGTTTTTGGTCTGTGGGAGGAAACCGGAGTACCTGGAGAAAACTCACACATGCACGGAGAGAACATGCAAACGCCACTCAGAAAGACCCCCGGACCAGGATTTGAACCAGGGACCTGCTCGCTGAGAGGCAGCAGCTCTACCAACTGCGCCACTGTGCCGCCCAACCTGTTCACATGTGCTAATAAAAAATAAATGAATCAAGTACACTTTTCACTTCTCTACACAGAACCTGCACATTTGTGATAACAGACTATTTTAATAGATCAAGTGATTAATTTCAATTCAGTTCAATATAACTTCATTGACAATAACATTCAACGAACTGGAGATTTGTCTTTGACATCTGGCTCTTAAAAACAACACAAGTTAAAAGTGTCATAAAACTTTAAAAAGATTTACTAACCCGATAAAAAACAGTCTAAAATCCATGATACATTAAAAATATAGAAGCATCCCAGCAGACAATGGTTTGTCATGTTTATGTTTAAATAAGACCCAGCAGAGGGGACAAATAACTTTTTGTACCATTTTTCCTTACAAGAGGAACCAGCAGCCTTCTACCAGATGGTACCAACCTGTATAATGGTTGCACTGGATGAGTTGGGTCATTGTAAACCTGGATTGGCTTTTTTCCAGAACCTGACTGTACAGGTCAGGTTCTTAGCTTGGAAAAGGTGGTTCATGTTAATAACTTGATGGTCCAGTTCTCTTCTGCTGTTTACTTCAGTGTCTTGTCTTCTTTTCTCTCTCTCTATCTTTCTGTCTGTAAATGTTGACAGTTTTGATTCAGTTCAAGTTCTGCTTTAAATTCTGAAAGAAGCCCTTTTAGACCTGTTTTTCACAAGCTCTTTAACCACATGACGGATAAACAAGCAGAGTATTTTTCTTGAGAGTTGGCTCAAATGGTATATTATTTTTTATTAGGTTTAAATATCGTGATTGGCTTCATTATTTGGTTAGAAATGTGACTCCGATAGTTGCTTGATTCATAGGCAATGCAGGGAGCATAACCTGCTCATGTTTTAAATGAGTGCTTTACTTGAGCATTGAAAATACACAAGAGGTGTCATAAAATGTTTATAATATGTTTAATTGACCTTAAGCTTCTGCATGTCATTTAGTTTGGATGCATTTCTGAAAATCTGACCTGTACTTATTATGTTTTCTTTGTAACACAAAGCCCCGAGGAGCAGTTTACACACTCACACTATGTTTGCTTAGTTTCTGACTGCATGTATTTTTCTTGTAGATTCAACTGGGCCAATGAGTGCAGGCCACACTCATCCTCCTTCCATGGGCAGCATGATGGCCCCCCCCTCAGTCATCAGCGCCTCCAGGCCTTTATCGTCCCCCATGTCCACCCTGGGCTCGCCAATGAATGGGCTGGCGTCGCCCTATCCCGTCATCACGTCATCTCTGGGATCACCTTCTGTACCGCTGCAGTCTGCACCCAACATGAACTTTGGACCCCTCAACAGCCCGCAGGTCAGAAAACGGGTTTGATTGAAAATGTGTGTTCGATGGCCACAAGATAAAATCAGCAAATCAATTTTTTTTATGTTTAGTTATCTATATTTTTTACATTTTTGATCTAAATGTTGTTCTGTAGCCTTTCGGATTCTATGTCTAACCCTGTAAACTATTCAAAGAAGCATTTTAAGATGCCATGAACTCTTTGAGCAGCCGATCTGTTGCATATACCCAAACCCAACTGCTTCTTTTGGTTGAGGTCTCCTTGCATTGAACTTAGATGTTCTTGGAATCTCATAAAGAAGATGGAGATTAAGGCAAATCCAAAGTGACTAGCTGGAATACCAAAGCTTTACCCCCCCCCCCCCCCCACTCCCCTACCCTTCTATTGACCTTTAAACTCATTGACCTAAAGGTCATCTTTGAGATACCACTGACAAGCAAACGGACGTGAAGCCCAGCTGCTCTGCTCATGTGGTTTAGCTTTTATTAGCTATAATACCAGAGCTAAGAGCGATTGCAAGCTCCTTGTTTATTGAGTGGCACAATTAGCAAGAAAGAGACAGCTAATGGAGACATCTCCTTTACGTGGTTCATTGCGTAAGTCAACGAGGATGAGGGCTTTTTGATTAGCTGCACATGCACAGATATGGTGTTTCAGTGGCTGAACTGAGGCCAGCGCTGCAGGTACGGCAGTCAATGATACACATTTCTTCACTCACAGTATGGATTCAGCCCACAGGAACAGTTCGGGGCCAGATGTGATTGTGTGGTGCTACATTGTTTTCACTCGCTGAAAGCAAAACTGCAGATATACAGACCGTGCCGTCGTTTCGTGTCACTTCTCGTCTGTTTTTCTTGTATGTCTTGTATGTACGGTAAAATGGAGTTCAACTGGAAGCAAGTGACAACAGATCTTTACTTGTTAGTTGATTAGAATTATAAACAAGAGCTATAACAAAACTATGTCCATCCTTTTTATATTTTATCTTTTTCGTGGTATTTTTTATTTGTATGTATTTCAAAATCAAATAAAACAGATTAAATGTGTTGCAATCCTTGAAGGATTGCCAATGTTTCATAACACGTTTTAGACTGATCATTTTATGATGAGATGAGAGAAAGTTATTGTCCCTTTGGTCCAAACTTGTAATCTCACACAACGCATTACATCGGAGATCACTCTCAGCTACTACCACACCAAATTGTAGCCTACTTTCTATTAAACTCACTGAGTCATAGTAATTTTATGTTGATTAATGTTCATTTGTTTTGGTACGCCCTATATTAACGTTCTGATAGTTTCATAAAAATCCATCCTGTGGTTCGTGAGATATTGTGCTAACAGACAAACAGAGTTGATGCCAATACTTAGTGCAAAAGTTTTAAACAAAGATGAGTAGCACTTGGATTGTGCGTTGGGATTATAGTAAGCCATTATCACATCAAATCTTAACTCATCTGTAAACTTGTCCAAGCTGTAGCTGATTTTATGTTTTCTAAGGCCTTTTGGCCATGGTGGCCTTCTTGAATTAGCTTTATCCAAAGAATAAATAGCTGGAGATGAACACAGCGAGATTATTTCCTAAAGATTTTGTTAAAATTTGTTCAGGGCTTTATATTTGTACGTACTTTACTAACAAACAGGAAGAGTTGATTGTAATAGTTAATGCAAAGTTTTTAAAATATCTGCAATCCGTTAATACTCATCATATATGTCGAAATGACTCAGATAAAATCACATCAAGTTTTAGCTGAATATCTGTAAAATAGAGTTATTGTATTTTTGTCTTTGTTGTTCGATGTAGTGTTAATTGTGTGAATGTTTATGAAACGTTCATACTGTTGTGATCCATTTGTCTTCCGTACGTTTTTTGGCGTGATTCTCCTCATGCAGTTTTCAAGTTATTTCAACAAATCATATCAAAATGTTCGGCTCCTTCAGGACAATCCTGCTACGACTTTTGGTATTGGTGCAACTTTAGCTTTTTTAAATATTTAGCCTTTTATGCCATTTTTTTTTCCTCATGAATTGAGCTCATTTTACATCTTTCAAATCTTTAGGTCTGATTATAACCTTTTACTGCTCCTTTCACATTTTGCTCCTGTTCAGATTCTTTCAGCTTTCTTGTATAAATTTAAACTTTTTTCAGCTCATTTCAGCTGGGTTTTTTTTTTGGCTGTTCTATGATCCTTTCAGATTATTTTTGTTAACTAGAACATTTTTGTGCTTGTTCTAACTTCTTTCTGTTAATTTCAGCTTGTTGTGCTCCTTTCAGCTTATTTCTGCAAGTTTCAGCTTTTTCTACAGCTACTCTAAATGTTTTTATGCCAATTTCAGCTTTGTCCAGCTAATTCCACATTTTTTGCACTCATTTAAACTTTTTTCTAATTCCGCAAAAATGTGCTCTCTCCACTTCCTTCTTATAATTTCAGCTTCTTTCTGCCTTTTAGCTACTTTTCAGCTGTTGTTCTGGTAATTTAAACTTTTTTCAAAGATAATTTTTACTTTTTTATGCTCATTTTTGCTTCTTTCAGCCTAGTTGGGCAAAATTGTGCTCTCTCGTCTTCCTTCTGCTAATTTAAACTTGTTCTACATTTTCAGTTACTTTCGAGCATTTTTTTTAACTAATTTCAGCTGTTTTCAGATGAATTCAAGTTTTTCGTGGTCATTTCTGTTACTTTCAGCCTAATTAACTTATTTATGCTAATTTCAGCTTGTTATGCTCCTTTCAGATTATTTTTGCTATTTCAGCTACTATTTAGCTGTTTTGTGCTAAATTGAGCTTTTTCAGCTAACTCCACATTTATTTATTTATTTTAGCTCATTTCATCTCCTTTCACTTCCTTCTGGTAATTCAAGTTTCTTTCTGCTTTTTCAGCAATTTTTTTTGGGGGCTAATTTCAGCTTTTCTAGCTAATATTCAAATTTTGTGCTAATTGCTTAATTAAACCAAATTCAGTAAATATGTGTTCTTTCTGCTTTGTCCTTCTAACTTAGGCTTGTTCTTCCATTTCAGCTACATTTCAGCAGGTTTTTAGCTAATTTCAGCTGTTTGTTTTTTCAACAGTAATCATGCACACTGCATTTCCGCAGGAAATGCAATTTCTCTAACTGGTTTTACTCCAAAACTTTATCAGTTGTAGATGCACATCCAATGATTAAATTATGAGTTTCCTTCACATCTGCCCTGAGGTTCATGAGATATTTTGCTGACACTACATACAGACAAACACACCCACACACACTTTCAAAAACATTATCGCACTCTGCAGTGGGCGATGATTATATATTTTACGTTGGCAAAATAGCTTCATCTTGAATAACTTCAATTTAAACCACATGGCGGAGCTTGGTGGAGCGTTCTCTGTTTATTTGCATTCAGGGTTGCAATTAATGGTTAATAACATCAACAATTTGGATCAATGATTATCTAAAAGGACTCATTAATCATCGCAGGTCTCTAAAAGACCAAGAGCCCTGTTAAATGATTAATTCTTCCAGCTGTGTTTCATCACTGTTACCAAAAGCCTGCTGTTCCTTCAAAATAAAATTTCTGTTAAAAGAGAATATTTTTTGTTTATGTTCACAAATCCAAAATATTTTATTTTCATACTGGCCCTGTAAAGACCCAAATGCATCTAAGCAGTACCAATAAATAATGTACGATGCATCAATAATCCATGGGGCGTCTTTGTACCTATTTTTGACAGCAGCTTGTTGGCAATCTAAAGCAGAATTCTGTCTAAACACAGGCTGTTTTAAAACTCTTTTTTTTAGTTCATGAAGCATTAATTATTTGTGACGTACAGTATTCACACTGCAGAAGTTTCACCGCTCACTGCTGACTCACCCATGAGCAAGTCTGCAGGAGCTGATGTTTCATTTAACTGTGATTATCTGCCTCTGGGGCACCCTCACTGGTAGAAAACCATCACATTTACAGAAAACTAAAAGAGCCAGCAAGCAAGAACAAAACTATTTCTGTGCCTAACGTCCAAGTTCAGCGTGTCCCTATAGGATAGTCAGAGTGCACGTTGTAAATAAGTGATAAGAAATGCATGAGGTGACTGAAGAAATGTTCTATATGTCATGCTGCATCAAGCACAGGAATCACAAAGGGGACATTTAGGTCATCCTCTCTTGCAGATGTTTTGCAGATGTTTGCACACAAACACAAATAAATGCATTAAAGGCCTTCGTTTCTTGAATGAATAAATTTAGCTTGCCGCCGTTAACTCCAGAGTTCCAAACTAAGATCATCTTATGATGAGAAAACACATGAGTTGTAGTTGTTTTGGCCAGTCCTTAAAAATAATGTTAACGACGATCTCATGCAGTCATGTGAGATGCACGTATGTGTTGCGGATGCCTCTCAGCTGCTATTACATCAGATCTTAGCTCATCATCTGTACAGTTGACGGAGTTATATCAGTTTTTGTTATTTTTTTAAGTGGATGTGTGGCTGTGGTAGCCATCTTGACTCAGGTTGACTCCAAAAATAAATCTGTGCAGATGTCTATCTAATGATTACTGCAAGTTCCATTAAAATCCATTCGATGATTCATGAAATATTTTACATGCACACGGGCAAAAAAAAAAAAAAAAAAATGGTGGCACAGTGGTGCAGTTGGTAAAGCCGCTGCCTCTTAGCAAGAATGTTGCAAGATTGAATCCCAGCCGGGGACCTTTCTGGGTGGAGTTTGCATGTTCTCTCCATGCATGCGTGGATCCTTCAGATCAAAAACATGCATGTTAGGAAGATTGGTAACTCTTAATTGTTCCTAGGTGTGAGTGAGAGAGTGAATGGTTGTTTGTCTCATTTGTGTGTTCTCATTACGTGGCCCTGTGTTGGACTTGAGACTTGTCCAGGATGTCCCCGCCTCTCTCACAGTGACTGCTGGACATGGGCACCAGTGACTCCTGCGACCTGGAAAAAAAATAAAGATAATGGATGGATAATTCATTCACGGGCAGTAAACAAACATTCTCCTGAATTTTTAACAGTGGCAAAGGGTCAGAGGGCAAGAGGACGAGAAGAGATGAAAAAATGCAGACGACAAAGAAGGTTTAAGACAAGGCATAAATCAGACATCTAAGAAACATATTCCTGGATGGAAAAGTCTCTTTTATTCATACTGGAAAAATTGTGTTTTCTTTCTCATTATTGTCAGTTTAAGGCATTTTTTTTTATTATTTTCTGCACAACATTAAAAGCATTAATTTGATTAATTTTAAATCAATTTTTGGCTACAAATCTTTTTTTTAGTTTATTTTGAACACTATAAAATGCATCAGACTCTTTGGGAGCGCCCTCTGCTGTTTGGTTTTGAAACTGTCCCTCATGGGACTCCTCTGTTGCACTTTTCTCAACACATACATACGCACACGCACACACACAGTAGTATATGCATAACCATGTAGAGGTTTCAGCTCCTCCCCACAGAGCATGTGATCACTTGCTGAAACACCTTCAAAATAAAGTGTGTGGGTGGGAAGGAGGAAAAAAAAAGTGATCAAGCAGAAGACAAAATGAAAACAGAAAAGGGGGAGGGAGAGTGTCATGAGATTGCTGAACAGTTTTCACTTCCTTTGCACTTCCTCCACTGCTCTGCTCTGTTCTGCTGCACTCTGGCCACCTCAACCTCAACTCTTCGTTCTTCCCTCCGTCTTCCTCAGATGAACTCTATGAACAGTGTCAGCAGCTCAGAGGACATCAAGCCCCCACTGGGCCTGCAGCCTCTAGGAAACATCAACTACCAGTGTCCAAGCCCGGGAGGGATGTCGAAACACATCTGTGCTATTTGTGGGGATCGCTCCTCAGGTAACGTGTGAGGGTGAGCAGAAGGATAGGACAACAGATACACACCACAAACACACACACACACACCATCAGGCATCGTCTCAGGTTGTTTCTGCAAAAGATTCAGTCTGCTGTCAGTGTACATTAGTCCCTCGTTTATTGCGGGGGTTCGGTTCCAACCCCCCCTGCTGTTAGTGAAATTACTCGAAGTAGCGACGTTATATTTATATTAGTATACATATATTTTAAGGCTTTATAAACCCTTCCCACGCTCTTGCAATGTTCAAAACTCATAAAGCTACGTCATTTTAACAACATATGTATATGTGCTGTACAGCAGCTACTGCTAAATTTTATATGGGTACTCACCAGCCTTGGTCCAGTTCTGGTCGGGGTCTGATCATCTCTCTGTAGCTGCTGAGCACCAAGATGCCTTTGGAGAGAGCCGGACCTTTGGAGAGCCAGCACAAAGTGCAAATAATCCAGGGGGATCCGACAAGGGGGGTCCGGGTGAGCTCCGGAGAGGACACCGAACCTATGAGCAACGGCTCCATGCACGAGAGGCTACCTGGGCCGGCAAGCAGCACTCAGACTGACCGATGAGGCTGGAAGTAGTTCTGGTCCAGTTCTGGTCGGGTTCTGATCAGCTCTCTGCAATCACTGAGCTCCAAAGTCACTATAAGGACCAAACTTTGTAGTCAGGTTTGGATCGGATCAAAGCTTGGCAGAAAGCGCATTGTTGAATTCTGCGAAGTGCACTGTTGCCTTGTGGGTAATGTAGTTCTTTTGGACTGGCGATACAGTGTAGAATGAATGAAAGAAAACTACAAAATGGTGGTGCCTGTCTGAATTATTATTATTTTGTCATTAACTTTTTCCCCAACCACGTGAGTTACAGTGGTATTACTGTACGGTCCACAGTCGTGTGTCTATATTTTCTCGTACAATCACAAACCACGATAGAGCGAGTTCACAGAAATCGAACCATGAAGTAGCGAGGGACTGCTGTATTTACAAATTGTCCTTTACAAGATGTTTAAAGGCCACGCTGGGAGTTTTATTCTGCTTGCACAGTGAGATCAACTGATGAGGATCTCTGCTCCACAGGAAAGCACTACGGTGTGTACAGCTGTGAAGGCTGCAAAGGCTTCTTCAAGCGCACCGTCCGTAAAGATCTCACCTACACGTGTCGAGACAACAAAGAGTGCCTAATAGATAAACGCCAGAGAAACCGCTGCCAGTACTGTCGCTATCAGAAGTGCCTGGCTATGGGCATGAAGAGAGAAGGTGAGTGTGTACATAAAATAAAATAATCAAATAGTCCAGGACATCCAGGAGGGGTGCATTTTTTATTTGTTGTAAATGTTTTTTTACTTTGGTTTGGTAAGTTTTACGAGACTTTACCAATTAAATAGACACATGTGAAGTTCACATTATTAACAAAAAATTATAAACTATGTTTAACTATCAGTTGCATCTAAAAAATTTGGAATATCGTGAAAAAGTCAAATATTTATTGTCAGTCATTTCAGAAAGTGAACCTCATATATTCCATAAATTCATTACACACAGAGTGAAATATTTCAAGCCTTTATTTCTTATAATTTTGATGATCATTCAAGGTTCAAGGTTCTTTATTATCATTCGCATCACAAGAGGTGGAACGAAATTATGTACTCAAGGTCTCAGTTACATCCAAAAATAGTAACAACAAAAAAAGAATATAAAGTATAAAAAGAAACAGTACACAAGAATCTAAGATATGCGCTAAACATTAATAGTGTAAAATAATAATGTGTATCAGCAGCCTGAACATGAGTCTGTAATGATCATGGGTTACAAATAATGAAAGAACAGAATTCACTGTCTCAGAATATTAGAATAATCCACAGCCAGCTGTTGGTACTTTAGTCAGTGTGGGCAGGAGCCAAGACCTGCTGGAAAATGAAACCAGTATCTCCATCAAGTTCGTCAGCAGCAGAAGGAAGCATGACGTCTGTAAAATGTCCTGCTAGATGCTGCGTGGACTGAGGAAACTTCACTCTGGACTTGAACCAACGTAGCTTCTGGACCTCTCCTCTCTTCCTCCAGACTCTGGGACCTTAATTTCTAAATGACATGAACATTTACTTTGATCTGAAAAGAGGACACTGGACCACTGAGCAACAGTCCAGGTCTTTGTCTCCTCAGCAGGTAAGATGCTTCTGGTGTTGTCTCTGGTTCAGGAGTGAACCTGAGGACTGAGACATTTGCAGCTCATGTCCAGGAGTTCATCAGATGATCAGGCTGTGACACCGGGAGTTTACAATATTGAACCTGTTCACAACATCCTCATTTTCTGAGACACTGAATTTTGGTTGTTCATTATTTGTCAGCACTAATCATCAAAATTACAATAAATAAAGTCTTGAAATATTTCACTGAGTGATGAAACTGAGTTTCATTTTCTGTGATGATTGACAAGAAAAAGGGAACTTTTTCATGATTTTTTAAATTTCTTGAGATGCACCTGCACCAGCTGTACAAACGGTGTCCTGTAAATATATAAAGCTGGGACAACAAGAAATCACTTCTGTGACTGTGATCTGTCACTATGGTTGGTTTACTGGCCTCTCATTCTAATGAAATTATGCAAAACAATCTGTATTTTACTTGGAGAACTGGAAGTGGAGCCCAAATATCAAATAGATTACTACTCATAAATATATCCTACAATTTCTTCCTGGTAGCAATTTTACTGATTGTTTTCTTTGTATTAATGCAAGGTCAGATCTTTAGGTTGTGTGTGTTAAC